CCATAAAGCTGTAGGTAATTAGAGTCCCAGGGGTCTCGAGTTTAGGGTTTGCCACTGAAGGCCAGGGCATGCCCTCGCGAGAGAAGACATGAGACATGAGGGTAATGTAGGAACCTGATTAAGAAATCCTGGCCCTATAACCTCAACATATTAGGGTTCATATTAAGAACCCTAACAAAGGCCCAGGGTTTCTTAATCAGGTTCCTGTAGTATCTCGCTTGAGAGGCCGTTCAATCTGTCATGATGGGAACTATGGATTCGACATGCATTGAAGGTTTGGGTTTAGGGTTCAGGATTGAGGGTTTACGGTTGCCCCATCCACCCTCTATCATGTGGGGGGCTTTATTATAGGGTACGTTGGGGGGGGGGTCCTGGTAGGCTTCAGGGTTTGGGGTTTCCACAGTCGTACCCAGAGGGCATATCCGAATGTCCGTCAAGTTACATACGGGGTCCTCAAATTTGAAGCTGTACGAAAGGCCAATTCCATCTAATCCCACCCTAAAGCCCTAACCTCAACCATTCTGAGGCTTCAGCTTGTTATTGTTATGAGATTTCGGCTTAGGTTTATAAGGTTTCGGGTTTAGAGTCTAAGGTGTAGGGGCTGTGGCCCCACCGGGTCTGCAAAGCCGAACCCAACGCCCTTAAGCCCAAGCAAGGAAACATGGGCTCGTTCCACATGGAGGGTTAGCATAAGCATCCAAAGCGGGACTATGGTTGAAACTCTCAAGCATACGTCGTAGTAGTAGTAGTAGTAGTAGTAGTAGTAGTAGTAGTGGTCGTAGTAGTAGTAGTAGTAGTAGTAGTAGTGGTAGTAGTAGTCGTAGTAGCAGTAGAGGTAGTGGTAGCGGTACTAGTTGTTGTAGCAGCAGCAGCAACGGATCACTGAGGTCGATACACTCGAGAATCGTCTCCAGCGGCACCAACACATCACAAAGGGCCTTCGTTCGGCTAGTTCCCTGCGGGGTCAAGTGACTGACTGTGGTTTTGAAACTAACCGCGAAGCCCCTAACCCCTAAATTCTGAAAGAGCCCTAAACTCCTACCCTACTAATCCTTAAACCTTAAAGCTAAACTCCTACCCTACGAATCCTTAAACCTTAAAGCCTCAACCCCCCAGTTCATGATTCTGAAAACCGCTGGGTCCTTCGGACTCCCAGGGGTGGCGTATGTATTTTTTTTCGGGCTGTAGATCTCCAACGCCTCGAGTCTGGGAATTCCGTGGGTCGGGGGCCAATATCTTCAGATTGGGGTTTAGGGTTTAAGGTTTAAGGCTTAGGGCTTGAGGTTCAGGGTTTGGGGCTTAAGGTTAAGGTTTAAGGGTTAGGGTTTGGAATCTAAGCCCTAAAAGTCCTAGGAGGGTGAGGAAGCCGACCTGGGCGGAGGGGAGTTCAGACTGGGGCATTTAGGAGGGGTTTAGTGATTTCGGCGGTTTCTGGCTTTGGACGAGGGTGTGGGACAAGTTCGGGGCTTTGCTGCCCCTTTTGTCTTCTGAACGCGACACCCTGTCCCTAAACCCTAAACCCCCAAGCCCTAAACCTTAAACCCCTAAACCCTAAACCTTAAACCCCTAAACCCTAAACCTTAAACCCCTAAAGCCCTAAACCCTAAACCGTATTTTCAGACCCTGAACCCTTTCTTGCCATGGCGACAAGGCTAAAGCTTGTGGCGTGAGAGGTCTAGGGTCGTGAACCGACAATGGGCCTCTGAGTTCCTACTACAATGCGGTTTCGGGCTTCGGGTTTAAGTGCTTACGGTTTAAGGGTTTAGGCTGTTAGGGTTTAGGGATTAGAGTGTGGGGTTTAGGGTTCAAATGAGCACCCTATTCCACACACTAAATGTTGTGAATCCTTGATAGAAGCCAACGTAGATGTTAGAAACCCCACATGCAAATCCTAAACCCTAAACCCCCTAACAAACAACAATCCAAAGAGCTGGCATGCATGCAGCTCGGAGACCCCATCCGAAATCCGTTGATGCAGGCGAATTGAGGGCAAGTAAGAGCAAGGAGTATGTCGTAAAGCTTCGTGGGAAAACTTCTTCTACATGAGACCCCCTCAACTTAACGGATTTTTTGGGATTTATTGAAATCCTACTGCCCGAAAACGAGATCTGTCACAGCAGGGTTTGGGCGATCCTCTAATCTCGCACGTATGAACAAAGTATATCTCTGCCATACATCATGCTGTGCCCGCTCGGCACCTCAAAGAAACCCTTGCAAGGAATTGTATTACAATTCAACAGGCATGGTGGCCTTGGCAAGGGGAAGCGCCCTGGCCATGGGTTGCTTCGCCGAGGTTGGAAAGGCCTGGAGCCCAGATAAGATGGGTTCAGGAAGTAAGGGTTTATGTCGGGTTTTTGGGGGGTCCGGGTTTAGGGGTTTAGGGCGTTTAGGGTTTAGGAACCAGCTTAGGGTTTACGGGTTGCAGACGGTTTAGGATTTTCGAGGGTTTAAGGTTTACGGGTTTTGAAGGGTCCAGGGTTTAGGTTTTTAGAGGGTTTAGGGGTTTAGGGCTTTCAAAGGTTACTACAAGTTACCACCACCATACTAGCCCAGGTTCTACGGCTTTACGACTTCAGGGTATTGAAAGCTTTTCGGCTTCGGGTTCGAGCCTAGAGACGTTCAGGGCTCTACGAGCTTCGCCTAGTACGGTATAGGGTTCGAGAATTTCCTATATAAGGGTTAGGGTTTAGGGTGGGGTTCACCGGTGAGCGGACCACCACCCGGCTACCTCCTAACCCCAGCACCTGCAGCTCGGTTTTAACGACGGTGCCTGGGTCATCCCCAATGGCGCGGGTGTTGTATTCGATTGAGGCAGCATGAAGGTAGCGAGCACTGCAGGGTTGCTTCCTCGCGTCCTTGAGCTGAATGCTGAACCTCATAGAGATCGCGAAATCTGGAGGTGGTAGGGCTCTGCGAACCTCCGCCGAAGCCTGTACCAACCGGACAGGCTCAAAGCAAGAGTCTGATGACTCCTGCTTGAGCTCTGGGCTGGGGAGGTCCCCTAGCCCGGCCTCCTCCACAGGAGGTGCTGCCTCTGGAGGATCAGGTGCTCGCTGCGACTCTCTCCATCCACTAGATGCGTTTTCTTGAGTCTGGGGCTGTCGTGGCCGCAATGGCAGGAAACTTGCTTGTCGGGTCCAGGCGCTTTTTCTTCGTCGGGGGAGCCTCCATTTTTGAAGCAACTTTACATGCAGTACAAACATGGAATCCACTTCTCCAAACAAGGGTCCGGGCAGGTTTAGGGTTTAGGGTTTAGGGTTCAGGGTTCAGGGTTTAGGAGTTCGGAGTTTAGAGTTTCGGCTTGTGCTTCGGAGGTTCAGTGGGCGAAATTTCGGCTTGAGTGTGGTGGTGACATCACGGGTGATCGTTGACGTGGGGCTCGCACGATGCAGAGCAGGCCTAGGCTGTACAGGGTTTGGGGTTTAGGGCTTAATGTAGGGGCCTTGATAATTAAAATAAGGTTTTGGGGTTCCTTATTATAAATGTAGTCTACTCTACCCCAAACCCTATTCTAATTGTTAAGACCCCTGTATGTTGCTTTTGTGTTGGTGCAGAGGGTTAGTCCTTACACACTACACGGTAATCCTCACCAAAATAAAACCGAAAGCCTCGAGGCCTCAACCAAGATCATCCTTAAAGGGAACTAATTAATAGGAGTATGAAGCTCTCTCTCGAAGGGATAAAACCCTAAACCCTAAAGCCCTAAATACAACTCTGCACCGTCACTCGCCTTTCTGTTGTGCCGATCATCGTACCTGGGCTTTTGGCCGACAGTGATGGTTTGTCGAACTTACGTGCAGCTTTCGGGTTTAGGATTTCAGGTTTGGGGTTTAGGGTTCGGTTTGAGGTTTTAGTGTAGTTTCGGGTTTAGGGTCTAGGGTTTTAGTGTATTTTTTGGCTTGCAATACAAGAAAGATGGTTTCAGGTCCAGGGTATCCGCGAACTCTTGAAGCCCTAGACTAATAAAGCCCTGAAGCTGGACAGTCAGAAGCCGAATCCACAAATCCTAAATCCCACCCCCCCCTCCCCCCTCCTCCCCACACGAAACCTAGACCCTAAACCCTACGCCCTTGAACCTTTAAACCCTAAAACCTTAAACACTGAACCCCTAAACCCTAAACCCTTAAACCCTAAGCCCACACCTTCCAACCCTTTGAAGCCCAAAGCAAGAGAATTGCTGCGCCCGGGCGTAATGTAGGGGCCTTAATAATTCGAATAGTATAATTATAATAAGGACCCCCCCCCCCCCACAAAAAAAAGTGTAGGTAATTATTCGGGCCCCTATATTACCCTGGGGGTCCATGCTCCTTCGCAGTAGATGAGACATGAGCGTTAAGGGTTTAAGGGTTTAGGGTGTAAGGGTTTAAGGGTTTAGGGTCCGGGGTCTAGGCTTTAGGGTCTAGGTTTTAGGGTTTCGGGGTGTCGGTTTAGCGTTCAGGTTGTACTACATCAAGGGACGCCGTGTCCAATCAATTATTCAAACCACTCTACTTCGTATTTTGGCTGTGACAAGGGGGGGGGGGGCGTCAGTCTCCAAAGTCCCTGCTTTCAGTCTCGTGTGAACTCTAAGCCCTAATGGCTGAAACCTAAACCATGCTTAGACTGAAACCGCACAAGCCCAAAAAGGTGTAGGATTTGGGGAGTTTTAGGGTTTTAGATGGTTTTAGGGTTTAGGGTGTAGGGTTTAGGGGTTAGGGATTCCGAAACCCTGGACATCAAATCGACGCCAGCTGGCTCCAGGTTGTCGAGCAAGGAAGATACCTGCGCGGAACTGTTCTAGTCGTTCGGAGGGGTCACCCTAAACCCTAAACCCCTAAACCCTAAACCCTAAACCCTAAACCCTAAACCGATTCAGGGTTTGTAACCCTAAGCTCTAAACCCTAAACATCCCTCAGGGCTCAGAGCTTATAGGGTTTAGGGTTCCATGGATTCAGGATTTAGGGCTTAGGGTGAGGATTTATTGTTCAGGGTTTAGTTTCTGAGAGGTTCATAAGATTCGCAAGAGCACGGGGCTAAAATGGGGGTTTATAACCCGGCTTTGCAGTGACTGGGCCTTTTTTGAGGGAGGCATAATGTAGGGGCCTTAATAATTACAATAGGGTTTTGGGCCTACTATACTATAATTGTAGTAAGGAGCTCCCAAAAGAGTATTGGTAATTTTTTAGGCCCCCATATTACTACACGGATGACGGTAATTACTCGGCTGGACGGTTCTCAGTTTTCCATGGGCAGGTGCTGAAGGAGTTGGGGCTTCAGAACTCTTTCCTTTCTAGGGTTCGGCCCTTGGAGCTCGAGAAGAAACACCACCCCAACACAAACTAAAGCTGCGACGGTTTAGGGGCACGGTTTAGAGTTCAGGGTTTAGGGTTTAGGGTTTCGGGTTTTAGGGTTTAGGGTTTCGGGGGTTAGGGTGAGGCTGATGCTCTGTTCCATGATATCAAATGATATCGTAAAGCCTGTGCTCGTATTGAAATGCGATCACCCAAAACCTCTGACGAACTACCCGGGCAACACCCCAGTGTCACTGCTGCGCAGCATACTCACACTAGAATTATGCCCCTGTTTGGAAGATGGAGGACTTAGAAAATAGGCACTCAGCAGGTTTATAGGCACCCAAAAAAGGAATCCTAATTGGGATGATGGTACGGTTGATGATCTAAATCTTGCATTACCCATAGTAGGGAATATACCATAATTCCCATAGTTTCGGGTCCTTAAGGTAATGCAGGATCTATATCATCAACAGTAATTACAACTCATCAAACCCCCTAAACCCTAAACCCTGAAACAACGACTTACAAGGCCGCTGGACCCTGAAAGTAGATGGGTGGTTCTCTAAGCCAGGGTCTGATTTAGGGTCCTTTTTCATAGGGGTGCCGTACTATGTTGGGGACCTGAAAGAGGGACCCTAATTTAGAGAACTACCCCTAGAGTACCCCTACAGAAACCCTCTAGCCTACAGATCATTCACCCAAAGTCCCGCCCCTCTGATGCCCTACAGGCCTGAAGCCCGAAACCCGACCCTAAACCCTAAACCCTGAACGCCGAACACTCTAAAAACTCTGAAACCTGGACATGCAGCCCAAGACTTCTCGTCAAGTGTCTGCTCGGAGAGCCCTATATACTGTCTTGGGGTTTAGGGTTCCGGATTCAGGGCTAAGGGTTTAGGTTTAAGGATAACCCCTAAACCATACAAGGGAACCAAACTTTTGTAAAGGTTCTACAACAACCATTAGGCCCAAAGATGCTGTGGAACCGTCAGACCAAACAAACCCTTCTTAAAGATTAATAGAGGAACTTGGCGTTGGCAAACCCTAAACGCTACCTGTGGCCGAAAAACACTACCTTTTTAGGGTTCCTTATCATGGCATTTAAATATCTAGTTCCTTAGAAGGGTCGGCTTTTTGGGCTACAGGTACACCCTAAACCCGAAGCTAATAACCCCAAGCCCTACACCCTAAATACTAAACCCTAAATCCTGAAACCTCAGCCCTCAACCCTTCGCCTTAAAATACCTTCAACGCTCAACCCGAAGCTCAAGGGTCTAGTCTATATAAACCCTAAACCCAAAACCCCTAGACCCTAAACCTAAATGCTAAACCCTAAACTCTAAACGCTGCACTGAAACCCTGAACCCCTAAACCCTAAACCACTAACCTAAATGCCAAACCCTGAGCCCTAAACCACTGACCTAAGCGCTAAACCCTGAATCCTAAACCCCAAAACCCTAAAACCCCAAACCCCTAAACCCTAAAACCCTGAAGCCCTTAAACCC